ACGAACCAGGGAAGGCACAAAGCTGAAACTTTGTAGGGATATTCTCTGTGCAAGTGTGAGCTAAGGATTAAAAATTCAGCTGCCGTGGATGCTTCTGCAGCGCGTATGATCATGTGAAATTTTGCACTTGGCACTGTCCTAACTCGAAAACTAGCCGGAAAACAGTGAATGGAATTTTGTCAGCATGTTTATCGCCTATGTGGGAAATCGTATACCTGAAATGACTACCGATTTGCACTTGTGTCACGATTTAGGGCACTTCAAAGATATTTGCAACGAAGTGGCTTTTTCATTTACCGGATAAGGCACGAAGCTGAAACATAGCTCAGATATACGATCTTAATTCTGCTTAAATATGTAATTTCCTGCAGGTGGTTATGAGAGACACTCAACTTTACTGCAGACTAAGAAACGAGTGTATTTTGCAGCGAACGAACGCCCTCATTCTCTCCCAACACGTAAATGAACTCATTTACGTATTTGAATTTTTTGACAAACGACCGCTCCAGCAACATTCCCACTTTTCAGCGAACTGGAAATTTGCATTTTTCGAAGGGCGAGTATTTACCAGAGAAAAGACGAGTGCAGAAAATTGATAATGTGTACCTGGGGGTCCATGCTGTCCCATAATACAACATCTTCATCCCAACCGATGCTCTTTCTCCCGCATGCCAGAAGAGGCCACATTACGGCCAATATCAGACCAAGTGTTTGGCTACAACGCTGGGATCATTCCTGATACTAGCAGTCTGCGAGTTTAATGCAAAAACGCATGATCGCACCGGCAAGCCTGGTGCGTTCCAGTCTGGGATAAAATCAGCGCTCATGCTCGTCTAGGTCTTACATATGTATGGACGCCTGAATAAAGTATTTAAATTTTTTAGCGAAAGTTTCAGTTATTTGTTTTAGTTATTCTGTTTGCGCTTATTGATGATACAGCAGTGGCAAGTGTAACTGCATATTTTATGTATATGGATGCATATAAGTATTACAATATCCAAATGGCTAAGACATATTTGAAAAAGTGATCGTACTGCATTTATTTAGGCACACCCGGTGGCGGTACACCGCCGCGGGCACGCGCCAGCACATCGAAGTCTTGTAAAAAGCCCGCCATTTCGTCTTTTTTCACAAGCTGAAAATTTTTCAAAACAATGTATTAAGCTAGTCTGTGCCAGTTAGACAATGGGTGAATATAATTCACACACTTTTGGGCTCGTGACACTTTTTATGCGTTTTTTGCATCTTATGCGAGTGTAAAAACGCATATTTCCGGAAGATAGCCCATATATGTGTGTATGTATATGTATTTGTGTTTGAAAGCAGACGAACTGTTTCACCTATTTTCAACCCAGCAACCAGTAAAGCTGGGAAACGGAAATTGCGAGGCGTATTTCTATCCCATGTGCCACTCTCCTTTTTTAAAATCAACGCCCTTGATCATCTAGGTCTTACGTACGAACGCCTGAATAAAATATGCAATTTTTTTTTAGCAAGAAGCGAGTTCGGGGACCGATAAACATAAAGAGCTGAAACTTTGCAGGAATGCTCTTTGTCCACGTGTAAGCTAAAGATCTCAAATTCAACTACTGTTCACGCATACAGCCACATCAAGGTTCACATTTGACACCATGCTTACTAAAAGCTCAGGCTGGAACGTACCAGGCCTGCCGGTGCGATCATGCGTTTTTGCACCAAACTTAAACTAATTAGGTTAACTGCATGAGTGTTGTTTCTTCACACCAACCTTATACGCTCAATACCGCAAATCATCGTAAATTTTGCATAAACGACTTAGTCGAAAGCGTACCGGCTGCCGGTACGAGGATGCATTTTTTGCGCAGTTCTCCCGCAGGTTTTTTCCGGCAGTGGCACGTTCTACCTGGCAGATGCTTCTAGCTAAAAGAAATGGGACTGACCCCACGACTGTTAGAAATCACTACAATGACTCCCAATTCATGCCCAAAAAACTCAGCGCTCTAGATGCTTTAGTTGCAGAGTTACGTCAAACTTCACGTGTTCGTAAGTGAGTGGCAAAGTGAATGCTCTCTTCGCCCGTGGCTGCTCAAATACGGTCCTGGGTAACATTCAGCTGCTCTGGTTGCAGAGTTACGCCAAATTTTACGTGTTCGCAAGTGAGATGTAGACGAGCTGACAAGTAATCTACTTTCACGGACGCAACAGTGAGCGACAAGTAAAGCTGCAAAATTGTAGCTCCCTACAACTTCTTGTTCAGCTTAAATTTGAAGTTGGCATGATGCCGGTTTGAATTTTAGCATGTGCGTACGTGAGACCTGGGGTGCGCTGAAGGCTGAATTTGAAATCTTTGGATTAGACCCGGCCAAGGAACAACTCTGTGAAGTTCCAGCCTCTTAGTATGGGCCGTTCACGAAAACGCTTCCCCACCAGAAAAACTTTCACATACCCCCACGTGAGAACCACGCGGACCTGAGCGTCCATTTTGAAGAAAAGAGCTTGCACTTATGTGTAGATTAAGTCACCAAATTTTTAGCCTTGTAGCTTTTGTGAATCTCGAGATAAAAACTCGTTACAGACGCACACACAGGCACACATACACGCACACATACATACGCACAGAGCTTTCCTAATTCCCGAGTTGGCTATTTTCCAGCCAAAAAATTTCATGGGGCCGTACATAAAAACAGCACATGCCGGGAGCTGGATTTGATAATTTTAAATCGTATATGGGCTGGGAACTCCCCTTGAAAATTTCAATCTCCCAGCTTTCCTGGCTCCCGAGTTAGTCATTTTCCCACCAAAAAATTTCACAGGGCTGTACGCGGGAACCACGCATCCTCGGGGAATGAATTTGAAATCTCTGAGTTATATTTGGACGAGGGTCATAACCTTAAAATTTCAGCTTTCCACCTCTTCACGTTCCCGATTTATCAATTTTTCCGCCAAAACTTTCACCCTCTCGTACGCGGAGCCCAGAACTGCATGAGGGTTGGTACCGCGGTTCTGGAGTGGCACTTGGCCGGGGCCACTAGCAAAATCTTGGCGCTGAAACTGGCTTGGTTGCCGAGTCGAAATACCCGAACAGCGAACACACACACACACACACACCCACCCACACACACACACACACACACACACACACACACTCACACAAACAGATAGGGTTGTCGCAATATGAGTTTTT